GACGCATTCGCCTGCTCCACGGCTAGGAGTCGCTCCGACAGAGCGCGGTAGTCCTCAACGCGAGGTAGCCGTCGCACGACGCGCTCCAAATCATCAAGGGCGTCTGCACAGCGATATGCTATTTCAGCATGACGCTCAGCGGGGCTCCGATCACGAAGGATCTCATCCTCAAGGACTCGAAGAGCACCACGAGTCACCGCCCGCCACCGACTCTTCTAGATGTGACGTCCACTATCACGTGGAACGTCTAGTGGGACGACGTCACCAGGGTCAGGCCCAATATCAGGTGAACTGGCGGGATTATCCCGACTCCGAAAACTCTTGCTGCGCACGAGGCAATCGGTGCGTGGGAGCTTGAGACGCCACTTCAGCATGATTGTCCAGACGCCGTGGACGCTTTTGATCAGAAAGATCAGGACGCCCCGCGTCATCAGACTCCCTGCGCTTCCCGGCAATAGCCAGGGAAGTAGAAGGGCCATGGACTGAGCTCAAACAGTGGCCCTGAGATCTTGCGGTCGCAAACACAGAGCTCGCGGGAGCGTTAGGGGTCGACCCATACGTCGCAGGGCGATAATCTGAAGGAAGTCGACGGCGTGCCTTGAGTTTGGCAAACTCAAATCGGAGATGTTGCTCCATATGTACGTCGACTTCCTTGTGGCTCAACTGAAAGTTATACCGTGAGGAAAGTTTCCGATGCCGTTGCACCCATCGCTCAAAGAGCGCTTCGTCTGTAGCGCTTTCGCCACGGGCGAGCACTATAGGTATGGTCCGCATTGCGGGTACACGAGAGCCACCTCATTGAGCACGTAGACGAGTGCGATAAACTTCCAACGAAAATTCTTGTGGGACCAAGAAACGAGCTCGAAGAACTTTCCGTTCTGCAAGCTCATCTTCCGTACTGGCCGGGTTCCCGATGATGTGGAGGCGTAACGGTCGAGCTACCGCATCCTTCCCTTCCACAGCGGGATCCTCTGGGCGGAATCCATATTCCACACAAGGGTCAATGACCGGCCGTGGATGTCCGTCCTTCAGGTGACGAGAAGTCAGGAAACGGAAATGGAGTTCACATGGCGCGAGCAGGGCTTGTCTAACGCCGCTGGCGCGGCTCACCTTCCTCATCATCCCATGCGGGAAAAGGAGTGTTAGACTAGTAGTCGACCACCTCCACATCCTCAACAAGGTAACTTGTCACCGATAGCGTGCGCGGAGCGCGACGTTCGGGCTCATCGAGCCTAGGATTTACATCCCTCGATGCCGCAGACGCACTGTCCTACATTGCACCGCGTGCGGTAGACGAAGTTGGGCTCTGCCCGTGTGCGCTGTCAGAGCCAGCGTGACTTGGTGACTTCATGTCGTTGATACAGGGATCATTGAGCACGGAAGTCGTTTTGTTCCAACTAACCGAGTTGCAGTGTCTAGCGGACACGCAAGCCTTGTTGAGGCAATGATCGATTGCAACTGTAAATATTCTCAATATTAATGGGGGAGAGTGAAACGGGGTTACACCTACCCTGGTAACAGTGGGTGTGCGTCACACGAGATGGGCATGGTGTGACTGCACCCAAATAATAATACGGTACGTGACTGGATAGCAGTAGTTATGCATGTATTTAGATTTTAATATATATTTAGGAAAATCTATACATTTAAAATTAGGCGGCTTTGCCGCAGGTAAAAGTAAATAAAGTCAGTTTTGGATTTAAACGGAAGAGTTGATTAGCCTTGGGTTAAGGCAATAATTTTCTCGGAGTAATTGCTAGAACGTCACCCCTTTTTGGGATTCGTATAAAGTATGTCAAGCACGTGCTGTAGGGTTTTATTCACTACACTCTAACCCCGCTCTACCCGGCCCGGGGATTGAAACCTGGACCTCCCGGTTCTGCAATAATTACTCTTGGAGTAAGCGGATTGCGATCCGCTAAACTCGTACTTGTTTTAAGTATAGGACAAAAGGTCGGTGACCTAACTTACCCTTACTCAGAGCGCAAAGCTATGGCAGCCCCGCTGCATGTCGCGACTCGTTTACAGAATTGCCTACAAGTTCTACCAAGTGCAACAAGGATACCGTGCAATTTGCACAGTGGAAGCTATAACACCCCACCGTCCGAATTACTCCGTATATCCGGACTCTGGGGTGTAATAGCTTCCATAGGAGTATAAACACACACAGGTTAGGTTCGTGGGCTCCTACAGCTAAGAGTTAATATACCTAGGATTAATTCCTGTACTAAAAATACGTTTTACCTTGTTAGCATGCGTGCGTATTAGTCTAAATGGAATTAATCCTGAACAAAGTTTCTCCTCGAAAGAGCAAAGCAAAGTTGATAACTAGTTACGTTTATAGCTCCTGATTTTGCTCTTGGTTGTGCTGTACGAGCCTTACCGCCGTGCGTTGGACTTTGAATTGGAACTCCCTCAGTGCAATCCTTAGAATTTATGTCTCCTCAGTTTTCCTTGGAAATGAGGGTTATTAAAGCAGAATTTCATGCTTTTATATGTGATAGCAAACCTAATTCTATGAGCAGAAGAACTTATAAAAAATGCTTATTACTTTTTTCTAAGGTATCAATTGATCAAGGTGAAATTTACAAAGAAAAACAAAGGTAGAATATTTCAAATTCCTTAACGTCGTTTGCCAGCTCACGCGAGTGCCGCTTCGATGATCGTCTTCATCTCTTGAACATGTATTTCGTATTGTCCCGTAGCAGGTGAAGCTGAGGGAGGACGTCCGATGTAAGAAAGCATACGAGGGTCATCTAGATGCCTCAACACAGCCAGCAATCGCGGAAGAATGTAATTATAGGCTCCCATGTTCTTTGGCTCTTCTTGAACCCACAATATTTCCGCCATTGGATAACGAACGATGATGTTTGCTACTTCTTGAAATGGAAAAGGAGCCAGCTGCTCAATACGTGCTGTAGCAATATTTCGAATTCCACGAGTTCGTATGCCATGACGAACAGGAAAATAAATCTTACCGCAGCATAGCACCAATTTTAAAATCTACGTAAGCAAGTCAAAACAGTTATAGAACTTCAGATCGTAACACACAAGCAATCTGCGTCAATATAAGTCGTCGTCTCACCTCATCATCGCACACCATTGTAACTTGGTCATCGGGGTGCGGTGGAAGAACACTTTGAAATGACGATCCGAGGGCTAGATCTGCCAAGTCAGAGTTGCATGGCCGGTGATGAAGAAGAGACTTTGGCGTAAACATGATGAGTGGCTTGCGATAATCATAGGATACCTGACGGCGAAGGGCATGAAAGTACTGGGCCGGTGTGGACGGAATAACTACCCAAATGTTCGCACGAGTACTGGCAGCATCAAAATCTTTTTCCAGAGTAAAGTGATCGCTGTCTTCATTGACAAGCTGCAGAAATCGCTCAATTCTTGCGCTGCTGTGGTCTGGTCCTTGACCCTCGAAGCCATGCGGCAAATTCAGTATAATCCCCGACTGTCGCTGCCATTTCTGCTCACCTGAAGTGATAAAGGTATCAATCACCGTCTGTGCACCATTCGCAAAGTCTCCAAATTGGGCTTCCCAAATGGTTAAGCCCATGGGGCTTTCTAAGGAGTATCCGTATTCAAAGCCAAGTACTCCTTCTTCACTAAGAGGACTGTTTACCACGTCAAAACGTCCCCTTCTCGCGCTCTCAAGTCCTGTCATTTGTTGGATTCTTCTAATATATTCCACGTCAAGATTGTGTAGAGGCGTGTATGGCAGATTTCGTCCAGAAACAGCTTCAAACTGGTCGTAAAGGACCGCATGACGCTGATTGAATGTGCCACGTTCACAGTCTTGACCACTTAGGCGTACGTCAACTCCTTCTACAAGGAGGCACCCTACGGCTAGCATTTCGGCTGTTGCCCAATCCACCCGAGCACCAGTTTCAACTGCGCGTAATCTATTGTTCATGATAGCTTCAACTTTGCGATGTGCCACAAATCCTTGCGGGATGCGAAAAATTTGGCTACCTACTTTCTCTAAGAATTTATGATCAACGCCTGTTGACCGATCATATATCATTCTGACGTTGATGTCAGCATCGACCACGGTGTGGTCCAACGTTCTTATTCCAGATGTCTTGTCTTTAACGTACCACTCAGTCTTCCATGACGTATCTCCAACATTGTCCCAACCGGAATGAACCTCTCGTGAATGCTGATATTCCGAAGAAAGATGGTCCTCAAAGCTGCTACACATTTCGTCAAATTCGTTACTTGATAAAATATTTTTGTTAATAAGCTTTTGCGAATATAGCTTCACGACACTAGGGTGTTTGTTTATAAAGTGGTACATGACTGGCGCCGTGATTTCCGGTGAGTCTTGCTCGTTGTGGCCATGCCGACGGTAGCCAACAAGATCAACAGTGACATCGCAGTGGAACGTTTGACGAAACTCAACGGCAATTTTCATTACCTTCGCCACTGCCTCCGGGTCATCGGCATTCACATGAAAGATGGGACTTCTTGAGACCTTAGCAACATCGCTGAGTGTACCCCATACCCACAGTAAAATATAGATACGAAAGTGAGCAGTCTCGTTCAACATTCCAGGACATGTGAGTTTACGTACGTGCAATACACTGCTGAGTCTGCATTTTTCGGCAACGTCGTGAAGCCAATTTGATTGTTAATTATGACGTGAATTGTACCTCCCGTCTTGAAATCCTCCAGCGAGCTAAAACCCAGTGCCTCTCTCACCGATCCCTGAAACATCGAAGCGTCTCCATGTATGAGAATCGGCATAACTCGGTTACCATTATCTCCTAATTGAGTTTGACAAGCTCGTGTTTGACCGAGAACAACCGCGTTCACCGCTTCTAAATGCGATGGATTTGCAGCCAATGTCACTTCCAGTTGCTTGCCACTGCGCATTTCAATGAGTGATGATGTTCCAAGATGGTACCGAACATCATCAGAATTATTTGGGTAGTCAGGCTCGTCGGGCAAATATGGCTGGAACTGGGATATTATAGAGTGCAGCGGTCGTTGCAATACGTTCGCCAAGACGTTTAAGCGGCCACGATGCGCCATTCCCATTTGGACAATCTCCACACCATGATCACTGGCGCTTTCTAAAAGTGTACAAAGACCAGGTATTAAGCTTTCGCATCCTTCAATCGAAAAACGCTTTGCCCCTGAAAACCGCCGCCCAAGAAATTTTTCAAACAGTTCTGCTTGGACCATTTGACGCAGTATATTTACTCTTTCTTCATTGGTGTACTCATAATTCTGGGTATCAATATGTCAATATCACGCCTTCGACAACATTAGATGCACACTCACTGCACCTTGTACTTTTCAAGGTGTTCTCGAATCCATAGTGCAGCATCCCGATTACGTAGATGCTGATATTCCAGTCCAATATGTCCGCAGAAAAGCTCCCGTAGCTCCGTAAGGATCTAAGGCTCGTAACGGCACGTGTTTAGACAAACGTGCACTGCATATGAGTAGATATATATATTATCAACCGTTCGGAGCGTTGCGACAGGGCCAATAGAAAGATCCTGGCCAATAAAAAATTCACGATCGAGATCACTGGCGGTGAAACCTGGTGCTAACGCATAAGTCCCTGAATTAACACCACAAAACTTTCGTACCGTGCGTTGTTAGCTCCAATAAATTCTTAGATGCAAGACTTTGCAAATTAAAGTCGTCAAAAAAAGGCGTTTCAACCCAGCGGTCTCCATTGACCCAGCGTTCGAGTTCAGGCAGCTTCTCTCCTGTATTAGACATCATGACACTAATCTAGTCATGTGACCATATGCTAACGTACGCTTTTGAAGTGGATCAATTTGAGCAACGTAATGTCCATACTAAAATAGAGAATGACGGAGGTTCGAGGCGTCAAATACAAAATCTTTGGTAGACACAGTACCTGCTTGAAGGTGCGAATTAGCAATAATACACGGCGCGTCTCCTCCTGTGAGCTTCGAATATCGTCACTAAGCTTTTGCACCGGTAAAAAAGCATTCTCGCGCTCTCGATGATGCAGACGCAAGGCCAGGGAGCGTACATGGCCGCCACTTCTCTGGTGCAGCAGTCGAAACATTTGTGACTTTATTTTGTACAGCACATCAGTTGTCTTCTTGGTTGAAGCGGCGTCCTCTTGTAAAACTGCTATGGCCGCGACGGGAGCGAAAGGGGCCTTTGATGTCGTGTTGAACTCTTTAACGTGGAATTCAAACGGCGCCCTTGATGAGGAAGCAAGTCGCCATATATATTGTTATGTGCAGCTCGTCCTGCCGTCTGAGCAGCCACTTGATAACGTTTGGTTTGCTGCCGGTACTGAGAACATGATGACTAGAAGTGTCTCAATTTCGGCAAAAGATTGTGGTCAAATGCTACAGCTTGAATACAAACAAAGCTCGAGAGCCATCCCTTTAAGCAGTGAAAATATGCAAGAGCTCGTTCAGGCACAACTATTGCTATCGCTGTACAGCGGAACGTTCAGAGATCGTCTCACAGACTCTTTCTTGTGCAAAGCGCTTGTGCCATTGAGCTCGGCATTTCTAGAAGGAAATTTGCAACATCAGATACAGCTTGCATCATCAGAAGAAACGTTCGTGCTCGAGATTAATGTCTTGTGCGACGTGGCCCTTGCAGATTGCATGCTTGGCGCGAGGTTGCTCCAGCTGTACTCGCCTCAGATTGTGCAATTGCCTTCTAAGTGGACGGGTTTGGAAAGTACCAGCAATGAAGAAGCAGTCCAGTACTGTGCATCAATACAGCAAAATGCGGCTTTTTATGAATTAACGATTGCCATACCACGTTTTGAAGAAACGAAAAATCGTGTCGATGACGGTGCTGAAATGAAAGACGTGTCTTTATCGGGTGACTTTAAGCTCACGACTTTGAAGGGAGGAAAATTGTATTTTTGTCCAACTTTTGGCGTGTCTGAGGAGTCTAGACTAGTTCAGTTGCCAACAGCAGGTGCGGACGAGGGACCAGACATAACCAATTCCACGATGTCAGGAGAATGGAGTGTCCGTTTTCCCTCTACGGCCATTATCTCTATACTTTATTTGAAGGTTAGAATGCGTATTTGGCAGTTAAGTATTTCCTGTTCCTTTGCTTCTTATACTAAGTCAATTGATGATTTATGATGACAGAACTCCATGAACCGTTTAATTGAATTTCTTACAGTCGAGAAGTACATCAATGGAACATTGCGGCGCAGTTTTATCGAAAGCGCAAGCGAGGAATCTGTAGATACCATATCAAGCGATTTCCGTGTAAATTTAAACGAGCTTCTTGCACCCGGTATCACACAAGTAGTACTAACAGCTCCTCTACGAGCCATGTCACCAGTTTCGCGAGCTTTTATAGAGCAAAAGGTTGCATCTGCCGCTTCGATCGACGAGAAAAAAAAATCTCAGGCAGCGTTAGCTGACTACGAAACTACTTCGTCAGAAACAGCATCCCTGACTGCTGAAGCAATGACTATCGGGACTCATATCAAGATTGTTGCAGGTATACTTAACAAACCGTTAGTCTTAGCGCCACCACAAATATTGGGCTTGCCGTCAAAATCAATAGCGCAGCTTATTTCGCCGCGCGACGTTGTTGATGAGGGCAAAAAGTCGCGCGATGTATATGAAAACCTTAGAACAGAGATTCGCATGGTGGCTATAAGTCTTTTGAGCGAATACAAAGAGTTGTTCAGCAATAGTGACAAAAGGCAAGAAACAGACGATACTGGGGCTGATGCAGCTTCTAATCGTGATTACAAAAAGCAGACACTTATCTACCGACTTAATACTCAGGGTATATATCATCTGCTTAAAGAATCGCTGAAAAAGCGAATTGTTCCTGTCATACGCGAAGCCTTTACCCGAAATGAAATTGTCTCAGATGAATTTGTAAATAATGCGCAAGCTGAGCTAGATATGAGCATGAAAGGAGATGCGAGAGAGCAGTTTGGTCAGTTGTATACACGTCTCATGCATGAAGTCAATGCTATATTGAAAGAAGTATTTTACTCAGACTCGAACGCGCTATTAGAGAAAGCTTATGCGGCAGCGGAGGGGCATCCAAGTCTTAAGGAAGTCAAATCTGTCCTCAATGTGCTGAGAATTAAGGCCTTGGAGAACGAAGTGAATGGTGATTTCGAGAAAAGTGAAATGCTGCATTTGGATCGTATTGCATATGCTGAACAGCATGCAGCTCATGTTAAAGCGATTTTGCATGATCAAAAGCTCACAGACAGGGAAAATAATTGTGGCTTAGAGTTACTGATAAATGCTTGGTACGATTATGCATTCTTCTGCATGTCACAGACAAAACTCGAAAAGTCGGTCGCTGCATTGCAGGAGTGCTTGCGACTTGATTCGCATTTCATTCTTGCATTAATTGATCTCGTTGGAGTGCACCTTGAACTTAGTGATTTTGCCCAAGTCGAGTTAATTGTGAAGAATGCAGTATTAGATGCAAAAGCTGCTGTTCAATCGAGTCGGGTGGATAGTGCTGAGCATTGTGTACTGGCCCACGCTCTATTTGCTTACTACTTTTCGCAGATCGAAGAATCAGACCCAACTGGAAATTTTATGCTATTTGAATTGCTGAATGCACAGCAAATGCTTCAGGTTAAATATTCCGGCGGTGAAATCAACGAAGCATCGTGTCTGAGTGCCGTTTGGGTGATTCTAGCAAATTACGCTTATGAAAGGAAGTTATGGGGAATCATGCAACGGTCATTGCACTTTGCTGAAAAAATGACAAAAACTCACGATGTTTATGGTTGTGACTTACGAGTCATGAAGCGAGTGATGGAAGCTGAAATCATTATGAGAGAGAGTGATGCTGGTGCTGGTGAGGGGGAATTTCGGGCAATCAAGATCTTGCAAGAAGCTTTAGAAGTTGACTCATATCACCCTATTGCTTGGCTTACACTCGGAAAAGTCTATTTTCGACAAGACTCTCATAACACGACAGCCATTGAATGTCTGCAGAGGTCGTTCGAGCATCATGATTTACTGACTTCAGACGCATCGCGTCTTGGTTTGTATTTGAGACTCGGTCTGGCATTACTTCATTCGTCACAATTTGAAAAAGCCGATGCGGTATTTTTGTTTGCATGTGATAAATTTCGTGTCGCTTCGTGTTGGCTTGGTGTGGGGATTGCAAATCTTCGGCTAGAAAAATGGGAACGAGCACAAATGGCGCTGGCTGAGGCCAATCGATTAGACCATTCGAATCCTGACGTTTGGGGATATTTGGCACTTCTCGCTCTCACTGCTCATACTTCTAAAAGTACTTGCGATGAAAAAGACGCAATGCAATTTATTTCTAAGGCTTTAGAGCACAACGTCAGTAATCCAGCTCTCTTGCGTGAGCTAAGTAATGCGTTTGTGGCAATCGATCGCCTTGAAAGCGCTGAAAGATTGTTGCGGCGCTCGTTGTCTTGTCAAGATTCTATTCTTACGCGTAAAACATTGGCAGACGTGCTGGCCGCTCAGAATTGTGCTGAGGATGCACTTCGGCACTATGTGCGGTTGCTTGAGGTAACTGAAGATATTGAAGAACGTCACGTCCTGTTAGAAAATTGCGCTAGATTACTCGAATTTCTCGGTAGGTCAGAGGAAGCAGCTGAATATCGAAGTATGGCAACTCAGATTGAAACGCATGACCGACAAAAATAAATAAGTTCTACTTTTGTTCCTTAGATACATGCCCGTATACTTGCGAGGTACTCACATCATCTATAGAATTCGGGATTAAGCAAACTTCATACTCAGGAGTGGTAAACGAATGTCTGTCTACATTGGGTGGATCTAACTTTGATATATCTCAAAATCTAACCTCATTTAAAAAATGCTGAAAGCATACAAGCAGACTGAACGTCTTGTTGAGCGACAGATCCAGCATATGTTGTTGATAGCCAAAAGCTGCGCCAGTCTATCTTAACGATAGAAATAATGATTTATTTAGAAATTGACAATTTCGGGATATTGAAGCAGAAATCATTAATACACCGCGTGTATCAGGCAGAAGATTGCCAAAATACGCTACACCAGCCACGGCTCATTTCTATAACTGGGTTATATGTACACAAAAGTTGTTGTCACTTTTGTCCCTAAAACCACGAGCTATTTCAATAGTAAAAAGTCCAGCACGATTCGGTACGGTCCGTAAGACATGTGGACTGCAAGACTAATGCTATGCATTGAACATGATAATGTTGTCACTGTTTACAGTAAACCAATATTTGGCAAGCTATGTTCAAATATAAATCTATGTCACTCTTAAAGAACATTCAATCTCGCTTCTGATTGAGACGTACAAAGACATCATCGGTGCGTGAATTAACAATGTCTAGTGAGTTCAAACTTTTTTGTGCGAGGCACTCAGCAAACCCTTCGCATCTGGTAGTCTTTGTCTACTTGAAGACCAAGTCTAAAAAGGTTTTATTTCCGTGAGGATGGAACATGATGTGCTCTCCTTTCTAGCCAGGATACGGTTGTAACAAGCTCATATCTTACTTGGCATCTAGAAAATCAAACGTCCACGGGCAGGATGCGTTTATGGAGTGCCTGACGGCATTTACTGTGATGAACGAGCATTGGTGCAACTACTGTAGAATCGTCTAAGCTAGGCAACAGTGGGAGCACAAACTAATTCCCTAGTTAAGGACGACAACGCTAAGCGTCCAGTGTCAAGCTCCCTAGTTGAGGCTAATTACGCTAAGCGTCCAGTTCTTTATGGGGGGTTCCCGAGAATGTCATCCTGGATAAGAGAAGCTGTGATGACCATGAATCTGGCATGCTCCTAGCATCGATCCTTCAGAGTAGGTAGCAGGCTGTTTTCAGAAGTCGCAATTCCTCACTTCGCAAAGGAGGCGTCAGACAGTCGTGCAAAGCAGGTAACAGTTTTGATTTTCGTATGGACTCTTCATACAGTGGTGACGCGCGCTGAAGATTTCCGCGCCCACTCCACCAGCTCGAAAAGTCTATTTTGATGCAAAGCGCAACTCCCGCTCCGCGAAGGCCAATTGCAGTGTGGATTGAATAGCAGGCTTCGGCGCAGGACAAAGGATTATTTGGAATTAGGAGCAACAATGTTGCTGAGTGTTTGAGTAAATTTCATAAGACATCTGCAGCAAAGTGACGCGATCTCAAAGTGAAATAGGTAATGTCGACCGTTTTTCGCGGTTTGAGGAGTGAATCTCTGGTGAGACATAAATAAACGTCGGTTTTTCGTGATATTTTGATAACCATTGATAGGATGCTTAATTCAAGCTATTGACCGGGATCTCCTGTGCTAACGCCGGTAGTGACAAGCGAGAGTGACACTGTGCTTGTATCTCTAGTGCCAGAGCCAGTGGATACCGATGTCTCTGAATCGCAAGTCTAATTAGTTTATGGCGAGAATATTGATTTGCTCGTGAATAGCAGTCACCAAAATGGTACTGTTGGTATTGGAGGAGAAGCTGAGCTTATCATCCGTCATGGATAATATGTAGCTTCTCAACGAGCACTAGTGTTTCTTTAAGAATTTTCGGGGTTTTAAATCCTGTGTCAGAGAAAATATTCTGATTATGGTTTAAGAGACCCCTTAGATAAGCACGTATGAATGTAGATTGCCCTGGTTTCTGGAATCTGAGTTTGCGTCACACGTCGATTGCCATCAGGAGGGAAATCGCGGGATGTCATAGACGCTGTTTTTCGTGCAGAGCACAAAACAGGCTAAATGAAAAAATAATTTTTTCCACTCGGCGCGTCGACTTTCTGCTTGAAAAGGTTTTTGCGCGTGGCGAGCTGTGCACTGTTATAATAGGCAAAATGGGGCGACGATTACGACGCAAACGCCAATTGTATGAAAATATGCTGCGTAACAGAGTTGTCTGTTGTACCACGTCTAATGCTCTTGACCTGTTTGATGGATGCAATTACCGGCTCTTTATATAAGGCGACTTTATCGTACTGCAGTGGGAACTCCAGGCAAGACATATTGGTAGCGGCTGGATGTTGTCCAGAGGCTGTCGAACCAACCAGCGACGTTCAGAGGTGGGAACGCAGCTAGTCCGACCGCCTAATTCGACGATATTTCGCCCACAGTTATAGAGTGAGCAAAAGCTGGGATGCATTTGCTGTTTGCCGCCGACGGATTTCGTTGACGCCAACGAGATTCAAGTTGTGTTGCTAGATTTTGGCCCGGTCCGTCAGAAAGTTGAAGACTATAGTAGAATATCAGTGCATTTGTCATTTAGGAATGTGATTTGGTCGGGCCAACAACTTTCGCCGCAAATTTTGCATAGATGGCACGACTCTTAAAGTGCATAGCAAAAGGTGATAGAGTGGGAAATAGGGTGCGGTCTTGAAAGCTGTGAAAGGAATTAGTGCCACAAATAGTGCTCATTTAATGCTATCTGTAATTCTTTGGCATTTCGATGGGCAGTGCACCACTTCAAACAGATGCTACGGATTGTTATGAAGTATGTTCTTGTTAATATCAGGTTGCACCAGCTTAATCTTCAGCAATCAATGCTATATACAGATCATGCGTCGTTGCACACGGTGACGTCGCCATCACATCCATCGCAGTATAGGGCAAGGTGGCTATCAATCTTTACCAGGTATATCTTCGAGGCTGGGTGTATTCAAGTCGGATGAGTGTGGATGTGCTTCTGCATCAACAACACTCTATGCTGTCGCATGTCATGGTGTATTGATGATACGATACAAATGCGTGTGGGTCAGACGCAACATATGTTGCTCTGTTGGCAGCCTTGGTATGTAAGGAGCATAAAAGAAAGTAAGAGCTCAAATTGATTAGGACATATAGTTGCTAGTTCGTACCGCTATACTTTGATTTGAGACTTGATGTATATCTTCTTGACGCGTAGTACTTCGCTGCAGTCGTCACCATGGGAACAGAACCACGCTGTCTCTCGACAGCTTCTTGTTCAAACAAAGCTTGCCGATGGTTATTGTTCATAATAGAGAACTGTATATTGCAGCAAAATTGGGGCAAATAAATGGCCAAAGTGCTAAAGCTCAGAGACGGCCGATTCCACACCTCGCATGTAAAAGGTGTCTATGGCATCATATACCGTTTTTTTAAAACAAGCCAATGACGTGTGACGCAATATTTCTTTCCAGAATTATTTCAGTCTCGCCACAAACATCGCGATCCCGAGGTAACATGCGTGATGGATCTAGTGTTGTCACATGATAAAAGAATTCATACGACCCTGCAGAATAATTCTCTCATTTTATTGTCCAGAATGACGGGCTCATTTTTGGCATATCAGTCTTCTCTTCCAGTACCGACCGTAAATTTCTGATATCTGCACCGTAATGTAACTGCTTGCAAACATAATCTAAGTATAATTTCTCAGGCTCAATAAGAGCAATGGTAGCGAGGGAAGATTTACAGCATTCAGAATTATTCCAACCACTTTGTATACGATTAAATAATCATTCTTCCCCTCATTTTAATGATGCTTCACAGCCATGCGCGATGGGCGCGTCACAGAAGTACTGAGTTTTAAGTACCGGTACGCTGTAAGTAGTGTGAGTCATCCTTCGTAAATTCAGGGCAACACCCTTCTAGTACTCACTTAGAGTAGCGTTTTGAGCTCACCAACTCAAGCACAACATGTTCATTTCTTTTCTTTGCCCGTTTTGGTATACAAGAAATCAGATATGGCTATTATCGAACTTCCCGTCAGAATACATTCTGTGAACACACAGTCATGTTTACAGTCTCAACAGATACACTCTAAAGACCTCAACCCACCGCGGCTTCTGCCGTACAATCCTTTGACCTAGGTATGCAATCATTATATTACCTCTGGCGCATATTGATAACAACTCTAGAGTTTGGAAAGATCCATATCACAAAAGCTATCATAGCTTTGTACCCGCGCTCTTATTACTCCTTCTTTGTGGCAGAGAGAGAATTATAACTCATCTTAGTCTCGAGTGGTATATGAAATCAACCGTTTTGGACCTTAGTCGATGAATTGGTCATGGCGTTCAAGTGACGCCATACATATGAAGCGATGATATCTGACATCGAGATCAAAGGTAAGACAACGTTCGATTCTGTCAACGTCTTCAAGAACACTTGAAGATATAACAGAACCTTCGACACTGTAGCTACTATGCGTCGCACGTAAGCGTATTCAGCATCAATAATACTCACACGTACTATGTATTCTGTTCTCCAAGCTCGCGTCGTACTTAATTGTACGGGGGTCTGAATATATTAGATTTTTGCGGATTCTTAAAAGTCCTCGATGTTGGTCTCAACAGCCAGCAATTTTAGGTTAAGGCCTTACCTTTTATGGAGGAGGTAGTCACTTCTCTTACATCGGGGTCGAATCAACTACAATCCTAGCGAGATACAACCCCTTGTCGAGTTCTAGTAGGCACACGGCGGTCATAGATACTCGAAGTTTGGTTGTTCTCAGCCAAAGGCGAAGCGACTACACAACAAATAGATTGTTTGAGCCTGTAACGGGGTTACACGTACCCTGATATGAAGGGTGGGTCACACAAGATGAGGTGACCTTACAAAGGATGTGGATTCCACAGGTCGGTGAACACACAATGGTGCGACTACACCGTCACAATAAACCACTACATGGCGGGAATACCAGTATTAATGCATACTAATTAGGTTTTTGTATTTAATC